CACTCAGGCCTCGTCGCCGGTGCCCGCACTGGGGGGGGGGAATCAGGGGGGATCAGGGGGGAATAGTCGGGCCCGGCGGCTGGGAGGCACTCAGGCCTCATCGCCAGTGCCCATGGAGGGGGGAATCAGCGGGCCAGGGGGGAGAAGGCTTACCGTGGAGCTGCTTCTGCAGACCAGGAGCCTTTAGGAATACTCCCCCCCCGCGAGCATCGCGGTTCCCGCTTCTTGTGTGTGTTCTAATTTTGAAAGAATAGTGATTGAAGAGACACTATTAAACTATCTGGCACTCTGAGTGAGCTCAATGCTAACCAAGACAAATACTTAACTCAATGCTTAAATCTTTAACCAAGCACTATGTTTTGTGTGACAGTACTTTTTTCCTGGGCAGAGGGGCCAACATAAGGCTGATACATTGCTGAAGCCTTCAAGTACCCTATTTACCTGAAAGGATGAGGTTTTTCCCCTGCATGTGCCAGCAAGAAAAAAAGGGATGGATCTTAAATTTGCATATAAGTTAGAGTTACATACAGTAATAAAACCCTTTTCAGTACAACTTTTTAATGGGGTGATCTTACATTCAGGATTGTCTCCCTTTTGGGTAAATATGGTACTTTGCAACCTCTGGATTTCCATATATGAAGTAATAACAAATAGACAAAAATTCCTGTGGCATTTTACAGACTATTAATACATTTTTTCTGATGTGCTACCTTTCTACTCTCTCTGATATATTTCTTAATAAAATATTTTAATATGTCACATGTAATCTTAACATTTCATCATTACCTCTAGAGAAAATGTAAATTACAGGAAAGCTGAAGCTGTCCCCCCAACATCGCTACATACACACAGTATACATAACTAAACCATGATAAAGTACTGGATAAAGTGGTTAAGACGCTGTATCGCAGGCCGGAAGGTCAGTAGTTCAGCAGTTTGAGAAGTGAGTGTCGCATGATGGAGTGAGCTCCCATCTCTGGTCCCAGCTCCTGACAACCTAGCAGTTCGAAAGCAAGAAATTGCAAGTAGATAAATAGGTACCACTTCGGTGGGAAGGTAACAGCGTTTCGTGTGCCTTGGCATCTAGTCATGCCGGCCACATGACCACGGAAACGTCTTTGGACAGCGCTGGCTCTTTGGCTTGGAAACGGAGATGAGCACCGCATCCCTAGAGTCGGATTCCACTGGCTTTCGAGCAAGGAAAACCTTTACCTTTTAACATCCTCATCTAAGGATAAGGGCTGTAGCTTATGGTACAAGTTTTGTTGTATATATTACTTGGTTTTACTGCACTGTTTTCTAATTTCTATACTCTAGTTTTTACATTCTCATATGATGCCTTATATTTTTTGTTGCATTGTTTCCCAACAATAATCACTGGTACATAGCTAAGGGCTGATTTATTCCAGCTGTGATTTATGTATACTTTTACAAATTATAGACTCTGTTACAATGGTATAAGCTTTCATAAGTAACAGCATACTTCAGCAGATAAATAAAGACAAAGTTAATATATACACACTAGAAAGTTGTACTGAAAGAACTGGCTGTGTGGTTGAAATAAATATGAAAATATAGACATAGCCCTTTCTTCTTGGCCCACTGTCGATGTTGGAGCAGGTTCACGTAAATGGCTTCCCACAATTTGGTTCTCATACCATGCCACAAGGATGGCACCTTTAGACTTTGCAAAAACAGTGTTATGAGGTATGGAGGTTTCATGTCCCAGGTAAAGGGGGCAGAGTAGTAGAAAGAAGTAGGACACAAACAGAAAAAAAGGCTATTTGGAGGAGATACCCTGTAGTTTGCAGCCTAAAGTTACACCACAGGCAATTTCGAAATAGCCACCACTGTTTATATGGCTCACTCTTGTAGACGGAGCTGCCAAGAGCTACCATGGGACCCCAGACAAAGATTCCATCTGCCCCCCCCCATATGACCCTAATCCAAACCAAATATCACAACAAAATGAACAAAACACTTAGCTTGATTTTACCATGAATCTATAGTAATAAAAAATTAGCCTGTCTGTATATGTTTGTTTTTATTTACTTTTTAAATTTCTCACCTTTCACCTCAATAGGGATCCAAAGCGGCTTACATCTTTCTCCTGTACTCCATTTTATCTTCATAACAACCCTGTGAGGTAGATTAGGCAGAGAGTGTGTGACTAGCCCAAGATCACCCAGCAAACTTCCATGGCAGAGTGGGGATTTGAAACTAGTTTTTCCAGATGCTCGTCCAATACTTCAATTGCTATACCACACTGTCAGACGTAACTCAAGGAATAAAACTACGAGACTCAAAACTGGCCACCAGTTTCAGGATGTTTGTGGGGGGGCTTCCGGTTGATGGCGGCACGCTAGCAGACTCACCTCCCAGACCTCCTGGGGGTGAAGCTGCGCTCCAGCCGAAGGAGGGGGTGCGCAGGCTCGTTAACCCCCCCCCCAGGGGCCTGGCGAAGGGACCCTGGCCATGGAACTTATAAGAGGTTGCCTCTTCGATGGCGGAATGCCGGAGAATTGAGGCGCCTCTTCGTTCCGACGGTTCTCCGTGCTGAGAGACCAAATGGATGCCGACCAGGCAAGCGCAGGAGATCGAGCATCAGAAATGAAGCTGAAAGCAGGGTCGGGAGACCAATTATGAACGTGAGTCAGTTTTAAAGCGTTTGTAAAGGAAAAAGATAGCTCCCCACCCCACCGAACGGGAAAAAGGCGAGCGGGGGAGGGACGCCTCCCATGCGCATGAACCTTTGAGCGTTTGGGGGGGGAGCGGAAGAAAACGCGAAAGAAACTGTCTAGAAGTACTTACCAAAGCGAGTTTAAGCGTTCAAGCGCACATTCAGAGACTTTTTAAAAAATTGTGAAACAAATGATAAAGATGGCGGGGAAGAAGGACAAAGAAAAACTTTTGAAACCGAAAGGGACTGAGAGCCCGAAACCGGATGTTACCAGTGAGCTGGCTAAGACCTTAGCAGAATCCATGCGCCCCCCGCTGGAACAGCTGAATAACTTCAAGGAACAAATGTCAACAATGACTCAATGTATCACCTCTCAGCAAAATCAGATAAATGAGACATTGCAAATGATGAAACAAAATACTGAGAAGGTGAATGAAGTGGACGCAACGACCCAAAAGGTGAAGAAGAAAGTGCAAAAGCTGGAAAGGAAACAAAGTTCCACAGAAGATCAGCTGCTGCAATTACAAATGGAAAAGGCTAATATGATTCTTCGCTTCCAGGGCATGCCAGAGAATAAGGGAGAGAACCTTAAAGAAGTGATGAGTGAATTACTAGCCCCAGTGACAGAGATGAAGGCGGAATCATTGGTAAGCGATATGGACGTGGTCTAGAGATCATATTCAGGCTATATAAAGAAAAATAATCTGCCTGGGGAAATTGTCGTAAGATTCTCGAAGAGGTATGTGAGGGACGCAATCCTGAAAGCAGTTTCCGGAATATCCCTGAAAGTGGGAGAGAATGCCATCAGAGTTTTAAAAGACATTCCATTTGAAATAAGACAACGGAGAAAGAAGTACAAAGATCTCGTGCTTTTTCTTCAGAAAAATTCAATTGGATATAAATGGCTAATTCCAGAAGGCGTCACCTTCAAAATTAAGGATAAAAAAGAAAAGATTGACTCTGTTCTGAAAGCTCGGGAATTTCTAAGGGTCCAGTTGGGAAGGCCAGAGGATGGGAAAAAAAGATGAGGACAGCAAGTCTAGTGGCAAGCTGGACCCGGGT